TAAATTGATTTTAATTTAATTTAATTTAACAAACCCACCGTTGCTAATATTGATCTGCGCTTATGAAACTACGTGCACACTGGCAAGCGAAAAATTATCACTTATAAAGCGCTTACAACAGCGTATTTTATTCTATTTTTAAGAAAAAGAACTCGTATTCTTCATATTAAAAGGAAAAATTATTATTACATCAAATGTATTATTTCCCCGAATTTTTTATATTAGATATAACTTTTACTACAAATTTCTTGCAAATTTATACAAATAAATATCCATATCTAAAATAGAAATAAGTGTCTGTATCTATTCGCATCATTTTACCTGTAACTTAAAAAAAAAAAAGAAAAAAAAGGAACAAAAACTAATAATTCCATTTACATAAATTGAGTCTGAATAAAAATGAGGCTTCCGCGATTCAAACTAGAAAAAAGATATTAAACGCATCATTGTATAATAGGTTCTCGTCACCGATAGAATCATTATACGCTCGAATTTTTTAAATAAATCCACACCTGTGCTCTCCGCCGTAAGCCACAGCTCGTAGCTCTACTGCCCACAATGTATCTAAGAGCGCATGCGCCCGCTCACGCACGCGGCGAGAGTCTCAGTCTTATGATTATGAATATACAGGCAGGTGAGAGAACGCGCGAGAGAGAATGGTCCAGGTGAGAGCGTGGGGGAGCGGATCGGCTTGTCCAACCAGCGGGATGGTAGCCGCGGACTGCCCACCGCGGCCCATTGGCCGGGTTCGCGAGTCCGCTATCGTATTATCGCGGCGACTCGACGGGAATCGCCGTTACGATACATCGATGCGGTCCATTTATCTCGCCGCGCTCTCGAACCTGCTTACGCGCCGCGGATCAATCTCGCGCGACTATCCGCCGCTCGATCGAGCCGCATCGCAGAGACGAAGCGACGCGTGAAAACGCGCGTACTTATTAACGCGAATCGCGGACACGATGACCGCCTCGTATGAAAATCGGAATGGCCCGTAACGTAATTGATAATCACGGTATAATCCCCCTCAATTTTACGGAAATTCCAGAAAAATGTAATTCAGATGATCGTAGATTAGCGACGGAAAAATCGCATCCAACTCCGCAAATGAGATCGTTAAAAAATATAATTGTAAGCGGGAAGTGTCTGTGGAAATTTCTATTTGCATAAGAATTGTTTTTACGTTAAATGTCATTCTTTTCTGAACTGCTATATTATTTATTACCATGATTATAGAAATTTTATTCGATATTTGCATGATTTCTCGATATTATGATTGAATTAATTAACATGTGTTGCTCTTAAAATACGGAGACTATTTGACTCGCTCATCTGATTTTGATATTTTTAGAATTATATGCGCTGACAAACTGCCTGCATTTTCTTCATTTTTCGGAGTAAATAATGTACATTTGACAGCTGATTACAGCAAAAAAATACGTTATTTAATTAAGCTCCTTCTCTTTTTATGTTTGATCCCTGAATAAAAACAAGATCTTAGAAGATAAAAAATTGTATGATTTTCACGATCGCGCGTATTGTTTTTTTACCCGATGTAAAAACCGATAATATATCATGCTCAATATGTAGCACTCCGTAGAAATGCAGTCGCCAAGGGATACGCGATTGGAACGAAAGCTGCATAGGAACGTGGAACGAACTCCGTGTATCTCCGGTCCTCGGTTAAGGCTCCCCGGATCTCGGAGCGAGAAAGGGAAGAAACGCAGGCGACGCGGTTGCCGGAGGACGAAAAGGGGAGAAGGGGAGGTAGAAGGGAGCGTAAGGGGGCTCCCGTCGACTTACAAATTATACGCGCTCAACGAGATTTACGGGTGACGCTTTGAGCGAGACCATTGTCCATCCTCGCTCACTTCTTTACCTCTTTACTCCTCCACTTGGTCGTCTTTGTCCCCTCGTGAATCGCCCAGCCTCCTCCGGCTTCTCCGCGAGTCCCTTCGTTCCCAGAGGACCGCGCGACAAGGACGGAAGGACGCGGCACACGAGAACGAGAGGGAGATGGAGCGGGATTCGTCGCGAAAAAACCGAGGAATGCCGATCGACGAAAGGGAATCCGGTTCCAATCGGATAATCGGGGCTCCGGGTCCTCGCGGGCCCTAGGAGGACTCGCGAGAAGGGCGTAATGCGCGACTCGATGACGAACGATTGTACGAGAGACTGATTTATGGACCTCGCGATATTTTCGGAGCAGGGATGGCATTCCGCAGGGATGGGGATCGCAGGGATGACGAATCTCACCGGCTCTCCAAACATTTTTGCGAATCTCCATTATTTCATTTCTACATTTCTTAATCTTATATATAATTCTGCTCTCTATCGAGATATTTTAAATTCTTTTCACTCAATTTAAATATATTAATACAATGTGTAAGTACAGAATCAATAAAAACACAGCAAAGCAACGCTAATGTTCTTAATCATTCCATGTGACTTTTTCATACAAAGTAATATTTATATGCATCGACATTAATTTATCAAGTTGTTGTATATTTATCATAGTCATCTATTTACATTCTAGTATTTCCAACAATATCAAAATATCATGATGAAAAAATACGGTTATTTTCACTTTTTTAACAAAAAAAAAAAGGAAATTTTATATTATAAAACATTTATAAAACTCCTAGTACATTCAGATATAAATAATTGATTCTAATAAATTTATAAGCTCTATTTATATGTGAGATTAAATTTGTGTACCTATCATGCGTCACGATTACAGCTGAAACGTATAAAATAATGCGATACGTATCTTCGCGATAATAGTGAATTAACTTGCAAATTATGCACGAAGCACGTAGAGGGAAAAAGACCGAAAAGATTCCAGTTTCCAGTCTGACCGTTAAATACCTGTTATCAAAACAAACCGTCATCTTCCTAATATATTTATCAAACACGCCATGAACGACGGCTGAGCCAGAAACGAAGTGCGGACTAACAACATCGTCAGAACGCAGAAATCCGTTTTAAATCGAAAACAAATATTTAACGAATCTCGAGAAGGTCTCTCCTCCTTCGTCCCTAAGAGTTATCCTGCGAAGAACAATCCTGGTTATCCCCGTATTCGAAAAATCATTTTACTCGTCACACAAAAGAATTTACGACCCACGTGACTGGAATTAATTTCTTTTGTTTAATAATCGGGTAGTAATCAGGCAGGAATTAATTTTACGCTGATTTCGGTAGAGAATAATAATTAAATAATTTTCACTTTGTTATGATGCACGCAAAGTTCGCAGAGCTACGCTCGTTAAAAGATAGTTACGAGATGGTCCGTCTCCGGATGCTGTGTAATCCCGAGTGACACGGGCACGATAACGGTCTATCATCGTGTAAACATTTGCATAACAAAGTGTAGTACACAGCAAATGTGTCGCACTACCGAGTGATTTATTATTACTCGTCGAGATAAATTGGATTTCAGTCACGCAGCTACCGAAAGTGTCACCTGATTTTGCGTTACGTTCGATACTCCAGAGAATCTTTCTCTTTCTCTCTCTCTCTCTCTCTCTCTCTCTCTCTCTCTCTCTCTCTCTCTCTCTCTCTCTCTCTCTCTCTCTCTCTCTCTCTCTCTCTCTCGTTCATCAACCGAAATCATAAAAATCATAATATTATAGTTTAAGGATAAGCAGAAATAAAATAATTCATAAATAGGCCAAGATTTCACTTAGGATCATGATCGGAAATAAAGAGATATTTAAAGAAGCATTTTCCGCGCCGTCAATAATAAGCGACTTACGTTAGCGCAAAATGAAGCCATAAATCTCGAGACACAGTCTGCTTATAAGAGCATGAATAACTACCAAAGGAGGATTTATAGCGCCATTACTCATCTCTTACGTGCGCGTAACGTGCGATGTAATTGATAACCCAGATGACGCACCTCGAAACTGGAGCGCACTCGTTAGTTCTTCACGTTCGCCAAGTATTGGCGCATTAATGCAACTAAGCGACGAATCTCGTATATAACATTGCAATGCTTACGCAAGATTTAAGATACAGTCGTTATTAAAGCGAAACTAGCAATTAGTCAAAACCGACGTTAAACGCAAGTGAGAATTTTCTCACATAAGGAGTTAAAATATGTGTAAACTAAGCTATATAAAACATAGTACTTTGATATAAAATTTAATGTGAGCTAATAAACTGCATAAGAGAAAATTGCAACGAAAATAAAGCCGTGAAGTTAACGGAATCGAAACGTGTCATTCGATTCTCTTCGTTACAGCAAGTTAGTCACGTATCTTAAATGGATTTTTTCTTTGTTAAAAAAAAAAAAAGGAATTATATTTTTTTTTTTTACCTGACGTAAGCAATGCGAGCTACCAGAGATACCAGATACATATAACTTATGTTTGTTTTAACCCTCGTTTTTATGGCCGTCACGTGTTACGGTGCTAAGGACATGCCAGGCTGTTACGTGTCACTCTTTATCTCACTTTTGAGAGACTTCGACGAGGGAAGTGAGAACGCGTTGTTATTCCTATCGTGGAGGCAACCGTCGTCCCCGAGCGTTAAGATAATCAGGTTGAAAATAGTGAGAAACGTTTTCATTTACTATGCGTCAGATTCATAAAACCGACAGGTATTGTACGAAGATTCTTTTTTGTGTTCGTAAGATGTGATATAAATTATCGTGTGCACCCAGCAGATGTTCGCATTGTTCCAAGTGTAATTCTTTTATCTCATGTCAGACATCTGTGTCGTGACTGCTTGCAATTGTCCGATTAGACAAATAAAATTCATATTTAAGGCAAAAATGCACAAAGTAGGGAGCGAAATCAAACGATAAATTTCTTACTTTTTTAATATAAAAGTTTTAGTTAAAAAATAATAAAAACCGTTAAGAGAAATTTTGACACATTTGATTGATTTCGCTCTATTCACTTAATAAAAACTCAATATAAATACATGATTTCACAAGAATATATGCAGCAGCCAGAGCGAAAAAAAGAGAGATATATTGAACAAGATGAGTCACTCACCAGAAAGAGCCGGTGATAGGGGTGACAAGGAGAAGGCAGATTGCCACGAGAACGGAACGCATCTCCATCCCCTTCGCACCTGGTAGCACACTTCGGAAAATTACCGATTATATGTCTTCTTTTCCCTCTTTCGCTCTGTTCACTGATTATCGCGTTCGATGAAAATCGCGAAACAAAATCGAATGCAACAGCAATGTTCATCAATGTTCGATTGTACTCGGTTGCGAAATTGATAGAATGCGAATCGGCGCGAATTCACGGTATATCTTCTATTAGATTTCACCTTCGTGGTCGAATATTAACAGGTGAACTGGCTCAAACTATCTTCTCAATCGCGCGATCCTCTTGTCGATCCTTCCAATAAAACTTGACATTACAACGTGTAATTATTCGCAGAATATCGTGAAATCTTTTGAAACCTTCGAATCAATTTCCACGATGTGTCCGCAATTTTCCTGATAGACTTTATTTCAGGACGAATGTCAACCGAATAATATTGTAGAACAATTTACATCTCTTGCCAAAGATTCACTTGCCACGCGCGAAATTCTTCGTTCTTCTCAATTGTGTTCTTTATAGAAGAGTTATTCTCGATGTTGCGTTTCTTGACACGTCTTGTGAAGCGAAGGTACGTCTTCAAGATCACGCAACCACGACGATCGTGATGTGCGGTTGATCCTCATGGTCATATCGCACTGAGGGTGCTTGAGAGATGCAAAGTTTGTTGTAAGAGTCTTCAAGATTGCGAAAAAGGGGCACGCAATTCAAGAAAGATCCGGAAAAGAGAGGACCACTGACTTCCGGTCTTTTGAATCATCAAAGCCTCTTCTTTTTTTCCCCCACTCTAATCACCCCTCTCTCTTTCCTTTTCTCTCTTTCTCTCTCTCGCTAGCTCCCTCTCCCTTTTTCTCTCTGTCTGTCGAAGTATTTGACGTCCTCTTCCTTCTCCTCGCTTTCTCTACTTCCGTGTCTTGTCCCTTGTTTCTCTCTCTCTCAAAAGTGCCGGCTACGTAAGGCACAGAGGTAGGAAAGTTCTCTTTTCTTGCTACGTGGACAAAAACGCGTCGCGTTCCTGCCAGAACTACGTCACCACGATCTTTGAGTGTTGCCTTACCCCCACCAACAGAATTCTGGAGAGCAGAGAGAAGAGCTGCCCCCACCAAGATACGCCGTTTTCTTCTTCTTCCTCTTCTTCTTCCTTTTCTTCTTCACCATGCACCAGCACCACCACCACCGTCACCATAACAATCATCACCGCTGCCGCGAGACCACCGCCACCGAAGCTGGCAACGGGTGCATCCTCGATTTCGCCGTTTTTCGAAGAGATGCAATCTTCAGGGAGGAAATCATCCCCTTGGAAGAAGACGTTAGAGAAATTTCAATTTCAAATTCTTGCGCGAATTTCAATCGCGGGAAATAGACTCGCTGATTTTCTGCAGCACGTGCAAAAAATTCCAAGTGAGAACAAAATCGAAGGGAAGCTGACACATGGACGGAAATTACAGAGAGGGGAAAGAAGAGTGGGGAAAGAAGAGTGGAAAACCTGTGAGGGAGTCTGCGGAGGTGGAAAAATCGAGATGGTAGGGGAGACAGCGAGAGATGTCTGCGATCGCCGGCGAAGCTCCTGGCCGGAGCGAACTGTATGAGACTGTTGCGAACTAGGCAGGTGAGCGCCGCTCGGCGGCAACGAGACGCAACCGAACCCCTCTTTTCCTCTTTTAACTCGCCTACGGAACCCGCTGGGCACGAGAAGCCGCTTGCGTGGGCTCCTCTCTGCTCCAATGCCTAGGATCCTACGGAGGGAGGTACGATCATGTACCTCGATCTTTCGGATTCGAACGCGCAATGTCAAGGTGATTAACGCTAGGCGACGCCTAGCGATACTATTATGATCCAGGAGTTAATCAATCACAAAGACAGAATATAACTTTAAAATGTTGAATAAAAAATCATGTAAGTTTATACTAAATTAATTCCGAAAATGTATATATTTAAAAAAAAAATATGTATAATAATGTTTAAGAGTTACATGAAATTAATTTTCTATTTTAATTTATATTTAAATTAAGAGAATTATGCAGAGTTATTATTTATGAAAATAATAATTATTAATTTATCTTGACGTAACATATGACGTTAAAAAAAACTAGGGAAAAACTCCACAATTTACTGCTCCTAAAAAAAAGGATTCCAGTGAAAGAATATCTATAAATCTCGATCCTACGCTCGAATATACCCTTTTTATCCCTCTACTACCCTCTTATTCTTTCATTCCTGTAATAAGGATTTCGCTGCGCCTTGTCAAGTGAATCTCGCCCGACATATCGCTCTCCTATCCCTCTTTCCTTTGCCAATAGCGACAAAGAGAACTCTTTTACCGGATAATGAGTTCTCAGTTCGGGAAGCGCCACGAGAAAAGCAGGTATTGATGACACTGACATTTTCCGCGCCATCGTCCACTTTCGCATGAGACACACGAGAGCGATTCGTGTTTGTGTGTTCTCGCGCGCGCGCGGCTCGACGCGAGAGAAGATCTGTGATCTTTCTCTCTTTCTCACGCGACCCTTACCAATACGAATACGAAACGAGTAAGGGCTAATAACGGGGCCCCGGTAAGTCCCATTCTGATGCTTTGTGAAGGCGAGCTCTCTCCGCTCGGTAGCCGTCTCATGCCTCGACCCCCTTTTCCCTCCCGCCGCCACCTTGCCACGGCCGGTCCCTTCTTCGCATCTCACCCTCGCTTCTTTTTCTCTTCCTCCTTTTCGACCGGCGACCCGCTCCTTCCATCTCGCCTCTTCCCGCCGTATCATGGCTTCGGTACACGCTGCACCATCGTAGAGGGCTATTGAGGGCTTAAGCTGTCGGCGTGTGGCTCGCTATCCTTTTCATCTCCGCCGCCACGACAAAGCCGCGAGCGCTCGCGGCCGCAGCCTTTACCGGTTCCCGAGCACTTCACCGTTTCGGAGTATCGGTCGCTCCGAATTCTATTACAGCAGACACGATTCAATCATACACATGCAAGTTTCCCAGCCTAACATTGTTCTATTTCGGCAACGATATTCACACCTTTAAAGGTTGTCATTATGCATAATATACAGGGTGTCCCGAGACTCATAATCAATTTTTCAAAGACTCCTGGGATCATCTGAAGACGATTTTTCCTCAACGAAAATGTCGAAGCACTAATAATTTTCGAATTATAAGTGATTGGAAATAAGGGGTTTTTCGTAAACTAAGCTTTGTAGAAATAAAATATTAACAAAACCACATTCTTCGATTAAATTTAAATAAAGTTTACTTTAGTTGAGTTTTAATTTAAGGCTTAATTGCAAAGATATATGATGACAAAAATCGGGAACATGCAAAAAATGATGGCCTTCATCGACATTTTTGCTGAGGAAAAATCGTCTCCAAATGATCCCAGGAATCTGTCTTTGAAAGATTGATTTTGAGTTTTGGGACAGCCTGTATATATGTATAATGATAATTATAGCTTTCGAATATGTTTACTGATATGAATTATTATAATATTTTGCAATCTATATATTCAATTTTATATCTGCGCTATATAATAGTCACATCTAACCGATGAACTAAGAATTGCATCAAGAACTCATCGATTTTAATCGCGAATCATTCGTAATCGTAGCGTGCGATCTGTGAGAAAGAAACGGTAATCGATCTTGAGAAATTTCGCGCGTCTAATAAAATCGACAGAGTTTCATTAGAAGCTTAATTAATCGTTCTTTGCAATCCGTTTCCGTGTCATTGATCGATTTACCGGTTGCAACGCCGATCAAATGATTGGCCTAATTACTGCATCAACCGGCAAGTCGTGGGTCAACTGCTTCATTGACCGAACAGCATTGCAAGAAATAGTTCTCGGTGTCACGACCACATTCGCCGTTATTTCCTGGAATAATAGTTGAAAAAAGAGACTGTGAACTAGTTCATTCAATAGCAAAAACGACATTTCTTTTATATTGTTAGATTTATCCTTTTTATTTCTAAATATCAATAAAGCAGGCTTTTCAGAAACATTTTCACTTGACAAATTGATCTCTTAAAGAAAGCTAATGCTATAATAATTCGCCTTATTAAATCTTCTATTTGCCTCATAATGTTTCCATAAGTATTTCTTTTTTTTTTTCTTCAGCGCGCGATCTCAGGAATGGAGCAGTCATTGATGGGGTCCCAGTGATAGAGACGAGAGCGATAATAGCGGCGATGAAAAAGCAGGAGATAAAAAAAATTAAGGAGAGCCGGGAAGCAAAAATATTGCAGGAAGAGTCGACAGCAGAAGAAGTCGTCTCATGTGGTCATATCATAACCGGCGGGCCAAACAGCGTGAGTGGTTTTAAGCGACGACGAAAGGGAGGAGAAATGTTTCGGAGTATGGTTCAAGGAGGGCCGACGGGAAGAGGAGAGATTCAGCGGGGGTCCATATTACAGCTCATTTAGCAGCGGGGTCCTGTGCCCCTTTCTTCGGCGCCCCGAGAGATCCGCTCGGTTCAGAACAGGTCCGCGGACCTACGGCAAAGATGAGCCCGTTTCGTTCCCATACAGAGTGCCTACCAGCACTTGGAACCTTCCGCCTCTAAATAGTCCAACTGTACTTATTTAGATATTTTATTCATACGCGATATCGCGTAGAAAAAATGTTGACATGTTTTTGACAGACTTAAAGATGTTAATAGACGATCGAAAGAATTTACATAATTTTGTAATAAAATTATGTAAATTCTTATTCAAGAGAGAGAAGTCAATTACGTGCAAATCCATATTTAATTAAAAGATACCGAAGAAAGCGTATAAGAAATAATTTATAGAAAATACGCATGTAAGAAAAACGTCAACAAGACGATCAAGATTTTACAAATTTATGTTCATGAGTCTTGAGATGTGTATGTCGCGTCGTTGCATCTTTCGTATGTCATTTTCACGAGAGAGAAATTTTGAGCGACCAAAACCAATACGAAAAAGCATAGGAAGAGCGGCGGGGGAAGTTGGAACGTGGCGGAAGGGAACGGGTGTTACCGACTCGTGACCAACACAGACGCGAAATAGCCAGTAATTTATGGGTAAGACTAATTACTAGGGAATGCAGCTCCTTCGACTCTCCTCTGTTCCTAAGACCGCAACTGCACCAGACCAGTTTTCAGAGATGAGAAGAGTCGCTTCTCTTATTCCGCCATCTCTTTCTCTATCGTCTCAATTCGTCTCTTCTTGCACCCCTTTGCGAGCGATTATGTGTTTGAACTTGCATATTAATTCTGCGATTGCTATCTTGCATGTTAATTATTACATCATTTTTTTGCGAAATGATCTATTTGTCTTGATATCTTTATACGTGAAAAAATATGACCGAGTATGTAATGCTTTCTATCGGAAATATACGCACCTCAACATCTCAATAATATAGATTAATTATTATATTTAATAATAAACATCAATTTAAAAAATTCTTAACATGTATACATTATATTTTTTTTAAATTAAATCAATCAATTGAGCTTAAAAAAATCGATTATGAGCTTAACTTGATTTATTGAATGACAAGTTGAAAAATTAAGACAATTAGAATCTACGAAAATATGGCTCGATATCCATCTAGAATAATAAATGGAAAAAAGAGGCGGGTCGTGTTCTCACGGAATAATGCGCTCGGAGAAAGGTGTTAGAACAATATCCACGATCGTCATCGGACGTCATTTGTACATTAGCCCAACCCGGTAATTTGGACCTGCTCGGTGCAACGCGATTCCTATTCGTTAAATGCCATTATCCGTTTCACCTGAACACCCGGTCGCCGCATGAGTCGTGAATTCCTGAGAACCTGCTCGAACACGCTGCCGTTGCTTGCTCGAAACGATAGAGGCGGACCGGCGTTATAGAGGGAGGAACAGAATCTTTTATTATGACGAGAATATCGAGGAAGGAAAGGAGAGAAAGAGAAAAAAACGTGGAAAAAAAGGGACGAGACACGCTAATGTACACGCGCGATGTGTGAGCGCGTCTCGACAAAGCTGCAGAATGTTCAATGGCCCGATTTATTTTTTTTTTAGTCCCGATTTTCGCTGTATCCTCGCTGTTCTGCATACCGCTTAGCCGATGGCACGCTAGGCATTCGGGGCAAGTAATAGGAATGGATCGTTATAACGACCAAAGTCACGGGTGTCTGGTAATCAATTCGGCTAATTGACTGCACGAGAATGGCAAGAGTTTTCGCCTAGCTCCGCTACTAATGATCTGGACCTTGCGGATTGAATTTTGTGGTTTCAAATTCTCGAGGGGATCGTTGCATTTTTACATATTGCTGACTATCGATCTCAACGCGCGCGATAATTCCATATATTGTTTAAAAAAACTTGCAGAAATTTAAATAATTAATTTAAAATTGAATATCTTTTTTCACATTTGATATATGAATCTTTTTTAAATTAAAAATTATATTAAATTTAAAATTAGGGACAAGCAACAAATGAAAAGAAAGTTCCTTAAAAAGAAGAGAAAAATAAATTATTAAATATATTGTAAATATTTACATTTAGATTTATAAATAGCAGCAATTATGGTAAAAATGCAAACCAAATTTATCAAATAATAAGCATGCACTAATAGCATCTCAAGAAGGATTTGTCGAGTT